CTCAAAGGTCAACCTCCACACAGGCATCAGCTCACATGCATCGTCTTGACCTACTTTTGTATTTGACTTTACTCATCTTCCTCCCAATTCTGACCAGTCTAACTACCTGTGCATCAGAGAACCTGCTCCCCAGAACTCTTAACAGAATGACATCACCATTGCACGCCCTGGGCTATACGAAGGACAGTGCCTTATGTTTGTCAGACACAGAGTTCTTCTGCAGGGGTTCAAGTTTTGTCCCATCGGGACAGACCTGTCTTTTCCCTCGTGCGCTCACGGTCTTTAAAATGTTGTCAGCTTCAGCTGGAGCTGTCACCTGTCCTTAACTCAGGAGTGGCTTCCATTCAGCCACTCTGCCATACAGCACTGATTGATGGGGAGCTGCTGAGGTGGTTGTAATTCTGTCTGGTCTCCCAGCTCTACAATGGATATTTGAAGATCTGTTAGAGTAGTGACCCCTGGGCTTCTGACTTTGTTCCTCTGTGATTCAGTTTGGCCAAAAAAAACCTGTTTCTACAGTTTACTCAGCTGGCCTGAAAATAATCCCATTTCTTATAGGTTGGTGGTCATCATTTTACTAATTTGTTCCTAGTCATAGAGCAACAATTGGAGTCTGTTGTCAATAGGAAAGTAATTCAAATTTTTTTGCCCCAAAAAGAACATTTCGACAAACCTTTGTTGGCAATTTGAAGGGCTTTTTAAAATATTTTTTCTTGTGTTTTTTTAGGCTTGGGACTTCCGATGGAAGTCAGGCTGGTTCCATCATCAAGATTCATTTTATTCATTAGCTTATTAATCATATAGAATAATTGGCAGATGTGCAATTATTGTTTTATTTTGTAGTCGTGTTTACATTTTACAGCATTTGTTGTTGTTTTTTCTGCTTTTTAAACTTGCATGTGTACAGAGCAGCACTTTTGGCTATTTTTTAAATGAAAAGTGCCAGATGAATAAAATTACAATGACAATGAAAAAACTCACTATTTCAATAAATAGAAGATCATATTCTGAGGAATTAATTGATTTTTCTATACTATTTAAAGTACGACATTAGCCTATAAATGCATTCTAAATGCCACTAGTTTGTATGGTGACTAACGTTTATATTGCAAGGTTAATGTTTTTTATTTATAAAATGTTATATATATATATATATATATATATATATATATAATTTTCTAAATCTTTTCATTGTACCACTAGAATAAAAAGAATAAAGAAATTCGACATAACTTGGAGATAGGGTTTCTGAACGTTTGCTAAAATAAAGTTTTAGCACATTTCAAGGTGAGTTTAAGATTTTCCAAGACCATACATTGATGATTTACACATACATGAACAGAACATGCATATAATCAATAGAAATCTTGACTACACATACCATGAATCTGTAAAATAATCCTGTGTTGTGACTTGTGACAAGTTGGCTTTAACTGCATTTTAATTTTCAGATTAAATTCTTCAGACATGTTTACAGATTTAATGGAAACAGTCACGGCTAAAAATTGCCAGAAAGTTAACTTTAAAAAAACAAGTTAACATCTTTAAATCCTTCAAAAGCATTTGTAAGGATTTCAAGCATACATGCTTTACTCTACCTGGTTTCTTGTATTAATATCTGAGCACAAACACTTGACTTAAAACAAAATGTACTTATTTGCTCATCATAAGTTCAAAGTGAAGAGGTTTAATAGTGAGAGAGTCATTAACCAGGTGAATTATCTCATGCACAAACATTTAAACACACTCCGTTCCCATCCTCTCTGCATGGAACAAAATCTATAACACTACTGAGACCTTTTGATGGCGCCTATGCTTCAGGATGCAAACGAGACTGCCTCTGATTCAGGAGCGTGCAGCCAAGCAGAGGAAGCTGATAAAAGGAGCGTTTATGTGATATCAGGCCCTGCAGGGGTCTGGATGCAGCCCTTGCTGCCACTGCAGGCCTGCAGACAGTGTGAATAGGACGTCAGTTGGAGCTAAACCAGTTTGTTTATCTTGGGTTCAAAATGCCAACAGGGTCGGATGTGGTGTCAGCAGCCAGGATTTTTGCAGTTCATCAGTTGTGTTTGAGCCAAAAGCTTTGAGGAGGTAAAAGAGAAGGTGTAAGATTTCTAAAGCAGGTGTAATGATGGCTTTTGAGGGTCGGGTAAGATAATAAAGGCTGTTGGATGGAGTGGAACTTATGTGGATTTAAAAAAAGGACTTAAAATCTAAAAATATTCATATAGTCTAAAGAAAATTTTGCAATGAGTTAAACCTTCTACTATGAAATAATCTAAATGTCTTTCTTAGTTGCTTTTTGGAAGCTATGTACCAAAAAAAAACATGTTCTTTTAGAAATCATAGTTTTAAAAAAATCCACAACAAACATCTGAAAGCAAAATGCCTTCTCTGTCTTTGAGCTGGAGAAACGTGCCTCAGGATAAAAGTAATAACCAGCAGGAGTTCCACATCACAGCTTTTTGTGTTATAGCATATATTCTCCCTTTATGTGATGTCACTCTCAATTATTTATAAATGAAAACACAGTTTTTTGGCGTTAATAATTGATAAAAAATGTCCAAATGTCTCAACTGGCTAAAGTGCTAAATGGCAAGAAAGTGGCTTTTCTGGAGTGCTTTGAGGCTGTTACTTGAGCAACAACATTATTTTATTACTACTTTGTGGATTTTAGATGGTTGTCAGGAGTTATAAATGACAGTAAAACAAAAATAGCATGTAGGAAGGTTTGCTTTAAAGGTCCATGGAGGGATGTTGGTGCTCAGATTTTGGTTGTTGTAGGGAAAAGATACAAAAAAGATGAAACATAAAGAGGAGGTGGGGTTTTAGCTAACCAATACCACACCAGCTGACTTAACAGTCAGTATGGTCGTTATGTTTCCAAGTCAAATGTGAGGATCGATGTTAGCATGGCACGCCATTCTACATATGTGAATATCCAGTCTGGCCATGGCCCACTGAGAGAGATCAGTCATGGGGCAGAATCTATGGTTGTCCTTCAAACTGTCTCCACATGCTATTGGACAGCAGTTTGACGTACTCTCTACTACAGATGTCAGTCAACAGGACAGTCCCCCACACACTGTCGAAGGAAACTCAAATACCTCCTTTTTCTAAGTCAACGACTTAAATACTACTGATGCACCGATAAATATTTGGGCCAATACTGATATCGGATATTAAGATCGCAGTTATGGCCGATAACCGATATTTGCCGATACCAATATTCTGACATTAATGCTTCTAAAATCAGCAGATTTTATGTAGAATGAAAATGATTAAAGCTGAATTTATGTTATTATGTACATACACCACACACATTTACGCTTCTGAGATAATTACAATCGCTGTCACATGACTAAACAAATACACTTCACCCCCCTCACCCTCTGAAACAGATGAACAAATGGTTGGTTGTTGATATCAGCCCAGTTTTACTTAAAAAATTAATAACATCAGCCAATACAGATATTGATGCGGATATATTGTGCATCCCTATAAAGTACCTCTATCTGCTCTTGACTCAAAGAAAAGAAAAACCCAAGTCTAAATAGACCGTCGCTGTCTCAAGCTAGCTACCGCTAACTTAGTTGTTCTGCTCCATCGCATCATCCTGCCCACCAGACCGTTAGAACACTGTGATTGGTACAAAACTGATTGGGGCAATGGTTGAGCTGCTGAGGCTTCTATGGGGCTACACTGACATGCAGAGCTTTGGCTACTGTCTATCTAGATTTTGAGGTTAAATCAATGTAGGAGAAATTTTACCAAAGCATGTTTGAATGGCTGTTTACCTTTAAATGCTACTAAATCACATCTGCTATTTAAACTTCTGAAAATCCATTTATGCTGTGCCCCTAAAACAGCCCACAATTAATATTTATCAGAAACAGCCTGGGACTGGACAGCATTAACACCACTAAAACTACAAGTCCCAGAATGCAGTGGGATGAGCAACATTGCTAAAAATCCCTCTGGTCCCCTCCCCTGTTGCAACTTTTGGCCGTAAAGTCAGCTGCTTGTTTTATTTTAAAAAATTGAACAAAACAGATTGAAGTTTACTCTCCAGTCTACTGACACTGAAGCTGAGGAAACTAAGTATTAAGTTGTCCAGAAACTGATTTGATGCTGAAGAGGAGAAAAAGCAGATGGAACGCTAAAATCTGGCTTTAATCAATTTACACTTGACAGTAAAAATGCTCAAAAACATTGGCAGTCAGGGTCGTTCTGATCAGAAAAGGGCTGGCAGTGAATGAGTTATGGTAAGAATTCTGAGAAAAAAGTCAGCATTATTTTTCTCTTGTTTTGTTTTATTCTTATCGGAATCCCTAATCCTCTAACGTAACGTAAACAGTTTTATATCTTAAATAACAGGATTTGTAACGATAAATCCCAATGTTATATAGAACAAACTATTTTCTAAGTCTCTGAGGAGACCAAGGCTGTTAACATTTATCATGGTGTCATCTGGGTAACAAAATCCCTGAATTAAAAAAGTGCATCCCAAAAGAAGATCCGCGCACGGACCTGTGCAAAGCCCACTTTAGTGAGAAGGAAATACTAGAAAGGAACAAACTCAAAGTGGTTGCCTGAATAATTAAACAACTATTAGTGAATTTCCCGTGGTTTCACTAAAATCAATGTTTTTGATCCACTCTGTCTCTAACTGCCTTTCCATTCATTCCAATTCCCTTGCTGACCCTCAAGTCATGATTGAATTAACTGTCCTCTTCTAATAATCACTTAGAACAATGACATTAGAGAAACAGAGTCCAAAACTGAAAGCAACATAAAAAAATAAATAAATAAAAACAGCAAACAAGTTTAAGACAGTGTATGTTAGATAAACACGAGTATCTGTCCACAGGAAAATCTAAAAGGGCTTAAGTCACCGATTAGACCGTTACACATCCATGTGGCCAAAACGTATCACCCTAATAACTCCCATCCACTCGTCTAAGGCTGACAGGAACAAAAGTCAAAGACGTCATACTCACACATCATCCACAAAGCAAGGGTATGGCATCTGCTGGACAAAGACACCAAGCGGTTGAGTCTTCGATGTTTGTAGTCGTATAATGGCGTGGTCCATCATGTCCTGGAGGTAGGCAAAGCCTCCCCATATGTAGCGCAGCTCATTAAAGGAGTGATCTCTTGCTCCTGGAGTCCATGACCTTTTTAAAAGAAGTCAGACGATTATGTGTCTGGATAAAGGCTAGCCCATCCATACAGGGTATTTAAATTTTATAAAACTACTTCAATCGGTAGAAAGAAATTCTAGTAAATGTGTGGAACCTTTTAGACTGGCAGTAAACCCCTTCTGGGAATCCAAGGCTGAATCCTATTTTCTAGTGATCTTCTTAACCCCACCCTGGGGTTAGTGGTGGAAGTGTTCCAATATGAAATGGTAATCCACTTCAAAAAAGCCAATATCGGATTGGTTTGCTTTACGTAAATCGATGTAACATCAATATGGCCACATAGAATGTGTTATTAATGTATCCTGCTCACCAATGCCTTTGTCATTACTTTTAGACTATGTAATGCACAAAATAAGCCTAAAACAAGACAAAAACAAGTTCACTAAATAAGCTTCTTTGCTAGTGCACCTTTGCTTGACATGTGCCCCCTAAGGTCAGGCCAGAAGCTACAAAGGATTTCCTTCATGTAACTTAAAAAAACTGGAACAAATCATAACCTCTGCTGTGAACGTGTAAAACATAATTGTGAGGCTGACTGGAATAAGAGAAAGGAGAAACTGGGATTTGGCCAAAATAAAAGGAAACAAATAACATATCCTGGTATCTTATGCAACTCTTGGTGGGTAATTGTAGAAAGAACAGTGCAAAAAAATCTGATTTTCTGTGTGAGTAATCACTCAGATTTGGTACTAAATATACTTGTGAGATATGATGGTGAAGGTTGCCAGTAATCCAGGTGGTTTGAATGAAGGCAACTGGACTTCTTTGGTTTCTTGAAGACATTTCACTTCTCGTCCGAGGAGCTGTGTCAAAAGACTGGAATATGGGAGTGTCAAGCTTGTAGCTATCTGTTGTTACTTAACAAGTAGAGACTACTTCTGAACACCCCTCCTCCCTACCCCATGATGAGGCATTAGCCTCTATTGGGTGGGAGTTATTGTGTTGATTAGAGGCAGGAGGTGTGACCTAGACTGAAACGGTTTTGGAATTAGGTTCAAAGCTGCATTGTAGGTGGTGGAAATGTGAAACCTGAGTCCTCCTCCCCTATTTAATATATTTTTTTCAACATAGATAGCTTCTTATACTCATTTCTAATGTTTGTGAGATTTTTTATCTCTGGTCAGGTGATACGGCCCCTGCCCAATGGGGCCCGTCCGGGATAATCTAACAAACTTGTAGGAGGAGTCTAGCCTTGGTGTTTGAATTGAGTATTATGTTGGCACAGCCTGGTTTTTGTCTTCTTAGATGTTTGTAGATGTGGCTTATTAGGAGCTCCTTTTGTTTGGTCTCTATTGAGCTTTGAGCTGAGGATTGTATGGTGTAACTGCAAACAGCGTGCAAAATTTGCGACTGCTGAGCAAATTGTTTGTTGCAATTTAGTTGCAATTATATAAAATATATTTGGTCACAAATCCTCACCAGTGTCTCAGAAAGTTGTTGTTTCTTCTCACTTTCTGTCTCAAAACTATACCAAGATGAATCCAGATGGTCAAAAAGACTCTGAGGCTACTTTTAAAATAAACTGGCTTTGCCAATTCTTTAAAACATGTTTAAAACAAAAATGCAACTCAACAGTAAGGGCCTTCAAGGTAACTGACCTTTATTAGAATGTTTAGTCATTTTGAAAACTCTATTGCATTCAAAAACGTTTACAAACAATTGCAGCCCAGGGAAATATTTGGTTTAGCTTTCCACAAAGACTTGATGCCAAAAACTTGGGCACTACAACTTTACTTCAGGGTGTCTAAACTTTAGCCATGTGTGTTTTAGAATAAACCCTTGGAAATTATAAACAACCACTAACGAAGTAGACGTTTACCTTACTCTGGAGAAAAAAATAGACACCCTAAAACGTTGGTTACGTATTGTAACCCCAGATTCTATGAGTCTAGTCGCAGCCCTTAAGCTAGCTGCTATTGGAAGGATGATCTCCGCATCAGCCAATCATGAAGAGCTTAAATGTACGCCCACCAATAGTGGGCCCCCTCGTGGTATATAACCGCAGTGACCCCACTGCTCACCTCCAATGGCTCTTATTCCCATCATAACCAGTGGGGCCAGTGGCTTAAGGGCTGCGACTAGACTCATAGAATCTGGGGTTACAATACGTAACCAACGTTCTATTTCGTCTAGTCTTAGCCCTTAAGCTAGCTGCTATTGGAATAAGGCGCAGCTGGATGGGTTTACGCCCCACTGGTTAACACAACCAATGGACACACCCAATCAAATCTCCTCTAGTGGGGGACGTTCAGCCTCAGACCAGGCCTAAAGACTGAGGCAGGCACGATAAGAGAGGGGCCCCCACTAAAAAACATCATCCACAAGAGGATAAAATCCATCTCAGCAAGGCCAATGAGGTGCCATAAGCATTCATTTAGCCTGCTGGGGTCCAAGCACTGAACGAGTGATGGAACCTGAAGACACATCTCGTAAATAATAACGAGTAAAGGAACAGGGTGAAGCCCATGAAGCAGCCTGACAAATGTCTTCCATTGACACACCACTGAGGAGCGCCATCGAAGAGGAAATCCCTCTGGCCGAGTGAGCCCTGAGTGCCTCAGGGGGATCCCGCCCTGATGATGTGTAAGCGAGGGAAATGGCGTCACACAGCCAGCGTGAAAGGCGCTGGGCCGACAGCGCCTGACCAAGGGAAGACTCCCTGTAGTGCACAAACAGGTTTTGTGAGCGACGAATCCCTGAAGTGCGTGACACATATCGTGCAAGCGCGCGCACCGGGCAGAGAAGGTGAGAAGCCGCCTCCTCCTCAGAATTATGGGGAGGAGGAAAAAGTCCAGCCAATGAAATTGACCTGGATTTGAAGGAAGCATTAATGCTTTTGGGCACAAAGGCTGGGTTGGGGCATAAAACAGCAGACCCGCCATCCTCCCGGATCCTGAGGCATGCGGGAGCCACTGAGAGGGCGGTTAGGTCACTCACTCTCTTAACTGATGCTAGCGCCAGCAGCAATGCAGTTTTAAGCGACAGGAACTTGAGTGAGACCTGGTCCAAGGGTTCAAATGGAGCTTCAGATAAGCCGTGCAGAACCACCGTTAGATCCCATTGGGGAAAAAGCGGGCGGGACACAGGTCTGTTCCTTCTGACACCTTTTAGAAAACGTTTTGTGAGGGGATGATTGAAAACAGATCTATCTCCAAAACCCTGATGACATGATGAGATAGCTGCAGCATATGTCTTAACAGTGCTGAATGCGAGGCCCCTGTCCATCAGTATCTGCAAAAACGATAGAACATCCGCCAGCTGGCAGGAGAGCGCTTGAACATTCCGTTCTGCGCACCAGTTCTGGAAAGCTGCCCATTTAGCAGCGTAAGAGGCAATGGTAGAGGGCGCCCGCGCACTCTGAATCGTGGCCACCACATCATGCGGCAGCCCAGAAGCCTCTAAGCGTGACCGCTCAGCGGCCAGACCCACAGCCGTTGGCCTATTTCCGGAGGATGTTTGATTATCCCATCCGCCTGGAGAAGGGCGTCCGCCCTCCACGGGAGCCTCCACGGGGAGCCGGACACTAGCGCTTGCAGGTCCGGACACCATGACGCGGACACGCGCCTGGGAGCCACCAGAATCACCGAGAGCTGTTCCGACCGAATTCGGTCCAGGAGACGGGGAATCAGAGGGACTGGTGGAAACGCGTAAAGGAGCGTTCGAGGCCAGGGCTGGTGTGAGAAGGCGTCCGCCCCAAGCGGGGGTCCGTCCCGGGGACTCAGGGAAAACCACAGGCGACACTGAGCGTTTTCGCGAGCAGCGAACAGATCCACAGACGGTTCCCCGAACCTGATCCAGATCTGTGATATCAGTGCAGGATGTAGACGCCAGTCGGAGTCGCGGGGTCCCCCTCTCGACAGGATGTCTGCCGCTACATTCAGTACCCCCGGAATGTAGATGGCTCTGATGGACAGCAGGTGGACATGTGTCCAACACAGTAAATCTGTGGCGACACGCAACAGTGGGAGGGATCGAACTCCCCCTTGGCGATTTATGTAGGCTGCCGCTACCCGGTTGTCTGTGTGAACTTTGACATGACGGCCCTCGAGAAGGGCAGCGAAGTGTCTGATCACATTCCTCACTGTCATAAGCTCCAACACATTTATGTGCTCGTGCGTGTGGGAGGGCCAGCGATCTGCCACCGTGTGGGACAAGCACGTGCCCCCCCACCCCGACAGTGACGCATCCGTAAACACAGATACGTGTGACGCAGGACGTCCGATGGGAACCCCGCGTGAGAGGATGCAGGGGTTCCCCCAGTGAGCGAGGTCCCCGCCCACTGAAGGGGGAATCCTCAACATACGTCTCTTCTGACGTATTGGGTGTACCCGGAGGCGGACGAACCAGCGTTGCAAGCGCCTCGTGCGCAGCAAACCTAGCGGCACTACTGAATGGGCTGCGGACATCATGCCCAGGAGTTTCATGACTAACCGGGCTCTCACGATCTTGCGGGGTTGAACACGGGAGATCACCGTGGAGAGATCTGCCGCTCTTGCAGGCGACAAACGTGCTCTCATTAGGGAGGCGTCCAACTCCACCCCGAGATACACAATCGACTGGGATGGAAGGATGGAGCTCTTTTCCCAGTTTATAGAAAACCCTAGGGTTGACAGATGCTCTGTCAACCTCCTGGTTTGCTGTGACGCCTCGTCCTCGGACCGAGCGCACAGGAGAAGATCGTCCAGGTAAAATAAGACCCTCATTCCCTCCGTGCGCAGTGGCTGCAGCGCGGTCTCCAGACATTTGGAGAAAGTGCGCGGGGCTAGCGAGTAGCCGAAAGGGAGGCGATTGAACTGATATTGAACTCCCTTGAACGAAAAACGCAGAAACTTCCGGTGGTTTGGAACTACTGGTATGTGGAAGTATGCGTCTTTCAGGTCGATTGACGTGAACCAATCCCCGGGGCGCACATATTCCAGGACTTGTCTCATCGTTAACATGCGGAAATGCATTACTGCTATGGAGCAGTTGAACAGGGACAGGTCGAGAATCGGCCTCATTCCTCCCGACTTCTTCGGTACTACGAAGTAGCGGGAGTAGAAACCCGAGAGTTCTTGTCCGCGAGGGACTCGGGAAATAGCGTCTTTGGACAGAAGTTCCCGCAGCTCCAGCTCTAGCGCCTGAGACTGTACTTGCGATGTGAACGTCGTCTCCACGATCCCGTTGAAGGGAGGTGGAGTGGCCTGAAAATGAAGTGTGTGACCGCAATGAATGGTGTCCGAAATCCATTTGCTCATGATGCAAAGGCGGCGCCACTCGTGCACGCGTTCCGAAAATAGACGCGTGTGCGCGGTCACGTGAACAACGTCTGAGGGTTGTGCATGCGCCCTTACCGCCGTCGCCCGTACCAGAGAACTGGGGGCGACCCATGGAGGGCTGCGCTCGAAAGGGCAAGTGCGAAACAGCTGGAACAGGCTGGTCCACACCGCGGAGCGTGGAGTCCGAGAGTGAAGGACGAGTGGGAGCCGGGCCTGTGCACGGGGGCGACAGAGTGCTAGCGGATGAAGCCGCGCACTGTGCCGCCGCGCGTGGTCGAGACAGTGACATGACATCCCGCCCCCCCCAACGGCGTAGTGAGAGCGGGACGAGTTGGGCCTGGCCGGATGCTGGGGCCAGAGCGCAAATGGAGCGCACCCTTACGGCTGGCCGTGTATTATGACTACCTGCAGGAACATGTGTGCGTGCAGCAGTGCTTGGTGTGGGGAACATGTGTTAAAACTCGGCAGAGGATTCTGCGGAGGACTGTAGGATTGAGCTCTTTGAGTGACGTTTTTTGGGTTTTATTTCAAAACCAACAACATCAGAACAATCAGCAACACACACATTCCCCCCAAAGAGTCACTTCCGTGGCTGCTTTCGGCGAGGCTCCTGCACCTGGGACTGCCAAGACGGCGTCTGCTGGCCCCGCCGGAACCGTTGTCCGCCATCTCGCTGGTCCCGCTGATGTGGAGCCGAAGCGGGAGGCCGGCTCCGTGGAGCGGGCGGTGCAGCTGGACGTCTGAAGCTTCCGCGCCGTTCGTCCCATCCTCTGGCTGAACGGCCGGAGTGCGAGGCTGACCGAGGGTGGACCAGGTCTCGCACCGTAGCCGATAGTTCGGCCGTCTTCTGAGCCCTCTCAATGACGCCCCTAAGATGGGGACCAAACAGAACATCGGTGGTGATGGGGCCATCCAGCATCTCCCTTTGCAGATGTTCCGGAATGGAGGGCAGGGCCTTCAGCCAGATCGCTCGCTGGATGAGGGTCTGCCAGGCAGCGATGCGAGCAGAACCGGTGAGCACAGCAGCACACAGATTGAGGATGGCATCAGCAGTCTTAGTTATGATGGCTTTCGACTCCTCGGGAGCTTCCAGCTCCTCCATCATCTTGGAGACGCCGAAGGCAAGAAGGGCGATGTTATTCCCTGCAGCGCCGGTCTGAAAGGCACACTGATGTGCGCGGTCGGTGAGCCGCGTCAGCAGCTGGTCATGTTTTGAAGCAGGAACGGCTCGCGGGCCAGCGAGGTGGTTCTTGGCGCCGAACAGCGAGGCCAAATCCGGCTCTAGTGGAGGAACGGACGGCCAGCCTTGGTCGGAAAACCCCTCGACCTTGGTGATGGGCGCATATGTGGAGACTGGCGCCTTGAGCTTGGCAGGCTCGGAGAAGGCGGCAGACCAGCAGCTCATAGCAGCGGGGAAGCGCGGCCAGACAGGGTCTGGACAGCGTGTCTGAGTTGCCCCGAAAATTCCCGCCAAATCATCCGCTTCAGGCAGGGCTGGTTCTGGCACAGCTAGCCCCTTGCGGGCTGCTGACGCAGAAATGATGGCGGGCAGCTCCTGGAGCAGTGCTCTTACTGCTGGCAGGGAGGAGCGAGAAGCCACTGGGGCAGAAGGACCCGCTGAGCGAAGCTCGTCGACCTCCGTTATGTCTAGGAGGGACGCCGCCTCATCGTAGTTTTCGCTGTCAGTGACGTCATCCAGCCGGTTGAAGCCAGCCGGCTCCTGACCGGCGTCGAAGAAAACCAAAGCCTTGTCCAGCGGGTAGGAGTCAGCCACCGGAAATTCTTCGTCGGCGGCAGGAGTGAAGTACTCGACCTGGCGAATCTTCTCCGCCACGGGCAGAGCGGCACAGAACGGGCACGAGGCCTGCGGGGTCAAGGCCAGGCCAGCGTGGTGAGCCCCGAGACAGACCTCACACTTAGCGTGCAGGTCGCCGCTGGAAATGGAGCCCGCCTGGCAGGTCGGGCAGGGTCTGGTGTCGCTGGACATGGCTGGTAAGTCGTCTTCGGATAATTTGCTCTTTTGAGATAATATTTGCTCTTTAATAAAGCTCTCAAGCTTGGCATGAAGAGAAAAAGGAGGTGAGCAGTGGGGTCACTGCGGTTATATACCACGAGGGGGCCCACTATTGGTGGGCGTACATTTAAGCTCTTCATGATTGGCTGATGCGGAGATCATCCTTCCAATAGCAGCTAGCTTAAGGGCTAAGACTAGACGAAATAGAACTTTATATTTTATGAGAAAATAAGGGCAAAGTGTATATGTCAACCATTATATAGGACTTGAGACTAGGGATGAAACCTTTTTAAAGTACACATTTTTAATATTTTCAGGGAATAAAAGAGCTGCAGGATTAAACAACAAAAATGCAAGCTAATATAATTGGTGAGAAAGGTACTAAGATGATACATACCTGGATTTGACTTTATTGGTACGCTCAACCTCATCGATGTCCATGCGGATTTTGTACTTGACAAAGGGTGGGATGCTGCTGGAGTCTGGCTGGAGGTCTTTAAAGACAATACCAGCCCAAAATGTCTTGTTACTCAGATGTTCCAGGGCTTTATTCACTAGATGGCCTTCAGTCTCAGTTGCCTCGAACTTATTCAGGTCCAAACACTGTCAACCACAAAAAAGAGAAATGCAAAAGGGTCTTACTTTGTAATAACCCCAGTTTTTTTTTACGAGAGTCATTCTTCATTTACTTAAACTTTTGGCAGTCACACATGGCGATAAAGCAAAAGGCAGAGATGAACTGACTAGAAGAGCAGCAGATGGATATTTAAGAGCGAAGGGGAAAAAAAGCTATTCACTCAACTATTGACTAAACCACACAGAGTGTAGCTCCAAATTATCTGGAGCTGCCAGGGGATGGAGAATGCTTTGGGCCCCAGCAGAGAAAGTAAATGAGACAGTGTTGCTAAAACTCCCATGTTTTGTAGCCTTGTCCCCTTGTTTCGTAGGACGATAATGAGCTAGCCATCCTGGGAGACAGTCACCCGTGACAGATGTCCGTGTGTCTCACTGCCGCAATAGTTTTATCATTTCTCCCTCAAGAAGTCTATTTTATATCAGGTCATAAAGGGAAATAAATATATTTGTTCTGTACATAATAGCATGGGTATTGGGACACAGAGGAGTTGCATGAGCCAAAGGTTTGCTCAAGCAGGATCATCTTTATTATTACCTGAATGTTTTTTATACAAACAGGAACTAGTTCTCTATAGTTGTAGAACCTGAAGAGGATTTAGGAATTTGTTGCCTTGCTCAAGGGCACCTCAGCTGAGGCGAAGACTGGAACATAACAAAGGCCATGATTCCCCACCTGGCACGCACTCTTGGAGTTTCTCAGTGGACTCACTGCTCAGGAGCATAAACAAATACAGAAACTACAGCAGGCTGGAGGATTTTCTGTCAACTGCAATCACTAGAAGGGGGTGGGGAGATATTTTTTAAGGAGACAAGCAGCTCCAAGCCGTAATGTTTCATATCAGCAGGTGAGTGGCTGAGCCAGCTGGAGGGGCAGCTGAGACTCAACTGGAGTCAAGTGCAGTGCAGCTATGTAGTACGGTACTGACAGCATCATGTCGTACAGCCTAGCCATCAGCTGTGGTGAATTCTAAATCACTGTGGAGCAGAGTTTTAACCTGGAGATGGAGATGTAATTTAAAATTTGGGGCTGAAATCTTAAATTGTAAGTAAGTTGCCATAAACTACCAAACTAACATTTACACATGTCTACAGCTCTATTAGACACTCATCTATACAGGTTATCAGCAAAATGGTTGATTTAAGTGTTACTCGCTCTATCATTTGATGCAGATGCTCAGGATGTACAGCGAGCCGTCCAGTATTTGGAAGGTTGCTGGTTTGATCCTGGCAGAGAATTCTGCTGTTGTGTCTTTGGGCAAGACACTTAACCCTCCCTGCCTGCTGGTGGTGGTCGGAGGGCGTGGTGTCGCCTGTGCTCAGAAGCCTCGCCTCTGTCAGTGCGCTCCAGGGCAGATTTGGTTACGATGTAGCTCATTCCTACTAGCATGTAAATGTGTGTGTGAATGGATGAATGATACACTGTAGTGTAAAGTGCTTTGGAGTCCTCTGACTCTGAAAGATGCTATACAAGTGCGGGTCATTTATCATTAACTTAACCCTTAAGGACCCGTGGTGACACTGGTGTCACAACCCATTTCAAACATCTGCAAAATTGCTTTTTGAGTCAAATATTCAAGTTTGAAAACCCCAAGTGACATTGTATTGATACATATATTTTAAAAATTTTTTCTTTTTAAATTTAATTATTTTCCACATTTTGATGTATTTATTCTAATCTGTTTTCTAATTCCAACGGGGTTGGGTTCTAAAGGGTTAAACACTGATTTGGGGATGACTGTGGTTCAAAAACTATAACGTATCTGTCAAAGATATATTTTGGCTTCAGAAGTAGGTTGAGATGCCATTTCTGGTTTTAGTCTGAGCGATGGCTACTCTGATGTGGTATTTTTATGGGGTACAATCCAAAATTGGGTAAGCCATAATTATATACTAACTTATAAAATAACAGCGGTAAGTACCAGGGGAAATGTTAAGACTGGAGGTAAACTTACACAGTTGAATTCAGTTATCAGCCATGCTTGTTCATACTTGGCCAGCTACCAAGCAGGAAAAGATGATGCTACAACCGCTCACTTCATCCTGAACTTTTTATTGGTAAATGCTAATATAATAGCTGTATAATAATCTTATTTATTCAATAACAAGTTCGCAGTAATAAAGAAATAAATTTGCCCTTTCCATCCGTAGATCCTCCACTAGATGGTGGCAGATACGTACAGAACTGGTAGGATTTTGATGAAGGTGACAGTCCTGATACTCAGTTCAGAAAGTGTAAGACCAGAGGTGGTTTGATGGGAGTTTGAGGCAATAGTCTACAAGGGATTAGTGAAAACAACTAGTTTTAAAGTTATTGTTCATGTTTATTGTTCAAACAATATATTCTCACCCCAAAAAGAGAGAAAAAAGTCAGCATCATCTTTCTGCCAATGGTTGTGTTGGTACTGGTCATTCTAAAACCCCAAATTGGTCGACCTGGATTTGGCCTTAACTCACATATTTCAGAAGTATGTGAATTGGAATGTTAAATTCGGAAAGAAAATGAATAACTTTACATTTGGAGATGCATTCAAGGTGAGTCTTAAACCAAAAAATGATCCAAATCAAGCTCCAAAAGCTGAAGCTGAAGCATTTAATGTCAAAATATATGATTACCAATACGCATGGATAAAAACTTTTTGAATGTATAAAATAAATACACAAAAATTAGGTAAAAAATGGCTTTGTAAGTAGACACCGGGTTCTAAAAAATGGCATTGACATCAGATGTGAGACAACACCCAATCCATCCCCTGTTTTAACACGTTCTTTAAAGACTCTCAGTCCTTTTGTCTCACTGGATCATCATCTCCGCTCTTTGATATTACAAACCCTACCAGCCAGAACATTCCTTGAGGGCAGGAAGTCCCTGTTTTTGTATTTTGAGGTTTTATTATTCCCTCTGACCACTGGGCCAGCAGCCAAAGCAAAGCAATTTTATACCAGCATACAGACTCAGCTTGAGAACAAGGATCTGGTCCCACTGATAGCTCGCCAATCTCAACTTGGCTCAATCCATGGAGCAAACACGCAGTTGTGTAGTTATAGTTGAGTAGTGCCTACAGTGGCCAAGTTGGTGCTGCTGATTGGTGTTTAAATGACAGCAGTAATACCAGCTGATCTCCATGGGATGTATAAACATTCTATATGTTACTGCCAAATAGCTAGTCAAGTGTTTGTGCAAGAGCATGCCATCAAATCTATTTGTCGGTTTGGTACGACTGGTATGAATGGTAAGACTTGACAGAAATCCCCTTCTCTACCGTTCTTGGAAGAGAAAAACTTCCTGAAGAGTAACAAGCCATTCTTATTAGGCTTGATGACCAAATTAGGTTTATTCCATGTTGAAGCAACATTATTTCATGCTAGTTCCAACAACAGGTTTAGAAAAACCTCTACAGACTAACGATCTAAAGACAAAAAAATTCTAAGAGTGTTGCCATTATGAATAAAGTAAACTATTTTTGGATAACAATGTGTTATAAATTTGATATTGTTCTTTGAATTTGCCGTATTTTTGTTATTGTGCTGAGGAGTGGGGTCACACATACGTGACAAATATAAAGCCTTTGTTAATTTAGCAGAAAAGAGCAGTAATAATTGTACACAAAGCCAATCCAAGTGATCTTACTAATTTATTGTTTATTAAATCCCAAATTATGAAGCTTAAAGATTTCATTGAATTTAGCACATTATTAGTTTTGTATAAGGCTAAAAGTCAAGCATTACCAATGAGTTTGCAGAAGTTGTTTGTTTTACGATCTGAGGATTGGGGGACTAGAAGAAAATACAGTTTTAAACATCAATTTGCAAGGACTACCTTAAAACAGAGCTGCACTTCAGTATGTGGTGTTAAATTGTGGAATTCATTACAGAGTGAGTTAAACACACGTGCACATATTTTTCAGTTTAAAAGGTTATATAAAAATGGAATATTTCACATGTACAGACTTGCTGAATAATGGGCATTGTGGAGATTGTAAATAGGTGAAATATATAATGTTTGTTCGATATTGATTGATTGTAGAGTTATTGACTGACAGACCATCAATGTGTATATGTCATTATATATATATATATATATATATATATATATATATATATATATATATATATATATATATATATATATATATATATATATATGAATGGAGCCAGTATTATAAGTTTTTCTTATTCCTGCTCCTTTTCATTCATGGTCTTGTTGCAACATCCGTCTCTTTTATCGTATTGTTTAATTGAGATGTGCACAGCCATGTGCAAAATAAATAAATAAAATTTAATTAAATTAAAAATCATGAAAGAAATTGTACTAGTCTAATTATTTAAAATGCTTTTAATCTGATACGCTTTACTTTAATTTATATTTTCATAATTTTTGCAGGAATATTTCACAATTTACTGAGGTTTTAACTAGGGATGTCCAATGTTATCAGCTGATACTGAAATTGATATGTAATATCTGAATTTTTACTTGTTAAATGTCTCAAATGTCCCACAGGTACTTTAATTTATTATACATTTATAAAAAAAATGTAAAATAATTCAATACTATCTAGAGGTGGCTAATCCCTATCATTCACAATATTACTAGTAATTCTTGTCAAGAGAAAAAAAATCTATCGTGTGATGCTAAATGCATGATGTTTTGCTTCCTCTACTTAGATTATTACACTCAGTATTTTTGGCCTCACTTCTCTCCGTAGATGTTTCCTGACTATGCAGGGGTGGTGTTTGGTTTGAATATCTACACAAACACGATAAAAAGGAAACAGTTCAGCAGCCACGGTGAAAAGGCTCACTGAAACACTAACAAATGTCCCTAAATAAAAAATGCAAAATGGAGAGTTTAGAGCAAAACATTAACCCAGAGGTTTCCTGATGGAGCAAGCGCGTGAGAATACATGTAATGATCGCTAGAGATGGATCAAGCTAGCGGCTAGTGCTAATCTCTAGTCCTATAATCGATTATGGTGTGCTTCTTCAAAAGTTCCTACTCATTCCTATCCACATCTTAATGCATTGATTATTAGACTATTTCCCTCAGTTCTAATACTGGATATCAATAAAAAAGACGATCTCCAGGTTTCACCATTTAGCCCATTGGTAAACATCATATTTTTCTTGAATGAGCATAAGAGCAAAAGTAAAAATGTCTGATAAAAGCTGATTATCTCTTATGTTTCCACATGCACCAGTGGCTGAGAAATAAAGGGTTTTTAAGGAATCTATTATTCAGAAAACCTTCATGCTCTATTAGGCTGCTTTTAAACACAGCTTAGACTTCAGAACGCTGCTGGTCTACAGGTCTTAACAGCTTAAATTGTGCATTTAGATATTAAACAAAACGACATCTTATTTAGCTCAATTTAGTGTTTGTGTGGATAAAAAGAAGCCAGCTGACCCTTTGTGTTTATGTGGGCCCCACACAGGATTAATTATAAAATCACCATAAAGAGCTTTCATCTTTGGTTCATATTTACTACACATTCATTATTATTGTGTGGATAAAAAAAACACAGCTTTGGGAAATTACATAAGAGGCCTCTATTTTTATTTTTTGCGTTAATATTTTGCACTTGATTGCTTTTTTTTTAGCACTTTCAACCAAATGGTTCCATTTTAGAAAGTTCTTTTCTTTCTAGAAGTTACACAGCAACAAACACAGCAGACTGGCGGTCAGGATTGTCTCAGAAAAAGCAAAGCTGACTTGTTTTTCCTTTTGATTTGATGGATAAAAGGAATGAGAGAGTACCGAGTCATCCTTCATTTCTTTATATTTTGCTTCCAACAAAATCAGGATGTCGCGTAATTGTTTGTGGCTCAGCAGTTCATCAAGCTTTCTGAAGGTTGTCCTTTGAACTTCAGTTGCTTTTCCCATTCATTTTGAGATAACCTGAATATTTTCAGGGACATGTTTTTGTTTGCCGAGCCACTCAACTCTGATCTGTGAAAAATCAGTCAAACACGAACAAATTGTACGATTTCCTCTCTTTAACAAATCGCTCCGTACAGTAAACGTTCAGATTTATAGGTGGACTGGAAACATTTTAGTGTCTATAAAAAGTATACAATTCAACATTCATCTTTGGAGATCTAATGATCAGGCCCAATGTGAAACATAAAAACCTGGCACCTTGCAGAAGCTCAAAATTGTGATTTCAGTTGATATTTTCCAAAAAACTGTGCATAACGGTGTCCCAAACAGATTCTAATAAGTTCAAATTTTGTAATAATGTATTGCTAACCAGAAAAACCAAAGCTCCTTCATCATCTCCCAATAAATTGCCGTTTTTTAGCTACCAAGGACAGAGAATGGGCCTTGTAACACAGTTCCTTTGAGCATCATAACAAAGCCATCAGCTGCCCCACAATCAATACATCAATGTCAGTTACAGTATGCATGGGTTTTTAAAGGTGCAGCGTTGTGGTGGATTTCAATTTCCGTGCAATCTGCCCTATAACAGTGATCTCAACCGATTAGCATAGACATGCTATCGAGCAACACATCTTCACAGTTTGCCAAGTCTAGGATAATAAAGTTTAAAGAACAAAAGACCAAAAGCTCCTTCAGCTTGTCCTATGAAAAAACAAAAGCTCACAGAGTGAGCAAGATTTTAGAAAAAGCAGTGGCCTTGGCTTTGGTGTACAATACAGCAAAACGGCTAAACATGTACATGTTCGATGCAACAGCATAAACAAAAGGGAAGTTTTCGGAGATCTAAGATTTACGTCACAGTCTGCAATAATGTATAAACCAAAACATTAAAGCCTGTATGTTTTAGTTGTTTCCCTGCTTCTACACACCTAACCCTGTTCCGCTCAGCCATAGTCCACAGGTCACCCAGTAACTGAAATCAGGTGTGTAGGAACAGAGAAAACATCTAAAACATGTAGAATGGCCCTCAAGAATTGGGATTGGACAGCATTCTTTTTAAACCTTGTAACACTTTAATTAGTCTGTTATTGCTCCAAGGCAACAGCACACTTCACTGTCAGTGAAGCAGCACAAAAACATCTTAGAAAAGCAGTGGAAGCACTGGGCCTGTGGCTTTGGTCTGAACACCAAACATCTGGGATTCAAATCCAAACTGACATCTACAGGATCACACCTGGTGATGCAGGTTCAATCCTGCAAACAAGTACAATCTAGACCGTCATTTGTCTATGTAAAATTGACGCTCTGGCAATGCTCCATTAGAACCTTGCAGCTGCGGCCAATGTTATGGCTGGTTGATCACAGCGCGTTTATTTAGAAAAACTATGTGTTTTATTATGTTTCATGTAGTTCTTCCACCACCGTAGCGGTACAATCACAGCTCTATATTGGTTTAGTGGGCCAATGACAGCACTTTGTGGGTGGGCAGGATGTTACTGAAAAACCAAAGATGGAGAGTGATCGTTTGAAACCGCTTTGGCATCAACTTTGGATTATTTAGATTTGGGTTTTTATATGAGTCAAGAGCAGACAGAGTTACTTAAGCCCTTTATTTGGAAACAGGATTTATTTGCTTCTTCATTAGCTAATTTTACAAAACAATGCCATCACTTTGCTGCAACGCTGAAGCGGCATCAGGGAGCCTTGCGTCATTTATACTGTAATTAGTCAGACCGTGGCGGTAATGTGGCGCAATCGTGTCCTTTTTATTAAAGATTAGGCCAGGCGTGGGATCCCTGGTCCTCGAGGGCCGGTATTCTGCATGTCTTTGCTGCAAAACTTCTGATTCAGTGCTTGATTCACCTGTTCAGCAGCTCACTAAGCTCTGCAGATGCCTGTTAATTACCTGCTGATTGAAATCAGGTGTGTTGAAACTAAAATATGCTGGATAGCGGCCCTCGATGGACCAGGGTTCCCCACCCCTGGATTAGGCGATGGTGGCATAAAGGGGGTAAGGGGGTGGTCACGGACTTCCATTCATCTTGGACATAACTTGCTTTTTATTGCGATTGAAGCCGCACTCCTTATGTTTTGTTCAACAAGCCGCTCCTAAAGGTATCTTTCCTCCACAGTCTCTGTGCATTGTCGGGTAATCTGAGCTCCAGCTCTAATGGAGAGAAGCTCATGGATTGCTGCATCACTTCAGTTTATCATCTCAGCTGGTTCTGTTTACAAAAGCAAAACCTACGACCCGTGTTTACTTTCACTTTCAATATAGTTGCCGGTCGGAGCGCGGCAGCTACCCTCCACGTGACCATGACACCTCCCTCTGTTCCGCCATGGTGTAATATGTATTCATAAGTCCGGCACTGCAGTAATATCACAACCAAGAGTGGCGGCACGAATGCCGCAAAATTCCCCCAACGCCATGCTGGCTTGGCGCATTCATAAGACACAATGTTGCGGTAATATTTAGCAGATTTGCTGGCATGATGTGTCTTGTGAAAAGGGCTTTTGACGGAGTATGGCAGACTGCCTCGTTGACCGACACCGTAGAGGTGAGGAAGGCCCATTGCCCAATAGCATGTGGAGACAGTTTGAAAGACAACCGTACATCCTGTCCCACGACTGAGAGCCGTCAATGGACCGTGGCCAGATTATATAATCACATATATGGGATGGCTTGCCAAAGTAGCAAACAAGACAAATTTGGGAATCTGCTTTCAACCATCCAAATTTCTAACAAGAAAACTTCAGTGGCTTTTGTGATGAAAGAAGAATGTATTAGATGCATGGTTAAGGCATGCAGTGTACAAAGTTTGATCATCTGGATTTAGTTTTTGCTCTGACCCCCCAAAAATACAGCTATGTCTATTAATTTAGCCAAAGTGCAAGTTTGTTTGAGGATTTAAAGGTCGCACACCTGCTGCTTCAAAAGGCAACCAAATAAATACTCAGTGGTAACATCAGGTGGAATTCTAATACATAACAGAATAAGCGAGGCTCAATCAAAATAAGAGTCGAAGAGCAAAAATGTTTTGCAAACGTCTCTTTGTGGTGAGAAATTGAGTTAAAAAGCCTAAATGTCACAGCTACGTTATTTATTTTTTGAATTTCTTTTACTCAATAATCCTTCTGATGCCTGGGTGATGTTGGAGAATTTGTTCTTAATAAAAATACTGTTTCTTTTTTTACTTACACCAAGGAATTTGGAGAGAAGCTTGAGGATTTGTGTAGTGGTGTTGTAAACATCCCGCCAGTCGTATGCCGGGAGCCCAGGTGGACGATCTTCTGGAGGCCCGTTGTACAGGAAGTTTCCCAGCAGCTGGGATGTCCATCTGGTACCATTGAGGCGTTGGTTAAGAGCAGCAGCAAAGACGGGATTTGCCAGCAAAGTCTAAAACAACAAGAGGATGGATGCGTTTAAATCTTCAGTTTTCATCAGTCAGAGGTTTCAAATAAATGTAGTGAGAACGCAGATACATATTAATGAAGACCGAAGGGAGTTACTCTAGAAAACGGAACTGCAGGTCAGCCATGTTCTTCAGCGGGGCTGGATTTCATTTTCCCTTAGATTGAATTAAAGAGCAAAAACTTCAAAAATTTAAAGCAATTGTAGAGGTTCAGTGAGACCGACAACCCGATGGTCCAATGGTTGATTTCAGTCTGAGCTGTGTTATTGGCAGAGACAGATTAGACAAATATGAGAGAATTGCTTAAATTTTTCCCCATAATACATTTATGTCCATACTAGAACGTTGTTAAGACGCATGAGAAAAAGTTTTAAGCTAGCTTGTTTTTGCAGATTTGCCACTGTAGCTTTAAACAAAACAGGAAAAGTTGATGTATTCAAGAAATGCTCACTCCCTCATTTAGTATCCAGACATTTCCTCCCTTAATTCTCTTCAAATATGTCAACTTGTTGCATTAACACCAGCTCCTCAGTTATGGGTCACAGAAACAAAAGTTAAAACCTGAGGATTTGCTTGTGCAGACAGAAGAATGGTGCAAACAAAGCTAAAGCTAATCATTTAAAAAGCCGTTTAGCTTTTCTTTTAAAAGATGCGTTACAGCTGTAACACATGGACCCTGACTTCCAACAGAAGAGAGCGCTGAGCCGCTGTTGTGTGGAATCCTGAGCTGACATTCAGATTTCTTCTTATTCAGAGTGCGCTCTGTGGCATTTCAGGGTCACCACTTCTGAAGACATTATGCTTAACCTAAGGACAAAGTGTCAAATTAAGTAATCTCACTGCCATGTGACCTTTTGAGGGGCTAAAAGAAATTTGTACATTTCTTTCTGCGGCTGCTGTATCAAGGACATGACACATTATGAATGTGTGCATAGAAATGTTTGTCATTTTCAAACAGCCAGTAAACTGAGCAGAACTGTTAACGCAGCTCTTCATGGGGCTACCGCTGCTCAAGTCTGAATGTGTTGTCCGCCGCTTAATGTTCCGTGGTGTTTGAACCAAACTGTTGCAGATACAACGTTTAACTTTGGTGGTTGGGTGGTAAATAACTTATTCGTCAGAAGACTCATCCAGTGACAGTCACACATGCTTTATTTGAAAAATAATGAAAAACTGCTTTTGACAGTTACTGGTACAAACTCAAGTGGGTTTCAATATTTTTTTAACGATTGAGTTTTCTGGCGATTTCTGGCAACAGAATTTGTTGGAAAAATCCGCTAATATCCATCCATCAATTTTCAGCCACTTATCCAAGGTCTGGTCGCAGGGGCAGTAGCCTAAGCAGGGAGGCTCAGACGTCCCTCTCCCCAGCCACTTGGACCAGATCCTCCGGGGGAATCCTAAGAAGTTCCCTGACCAGCTGTGAGACATAGTCTCTCCAGCGCGTCCTGGGTCTTTCTTTAGGCCTTCTCCCAGTTGGACGTGCCCGGAAAATCTCACCAGGGAGGCGTCCAGGAGGCATCCTTATCAGATGCCCGAGCCACCTCAACTGGCTTCTCTCGATGTGGAGGAGCAGTGGGTCTACTCCGAGCCCCTCCCAGATGACCGAGCTTCTCACCTTATCTCTACGGGAGAGCCCAGCCACCCTGTGGAGAAAACTCATCTCAGCAGCTTGTATCCCGCGGTCTCGTTCTTTCGGTCACTACCCAAAGTGACCATAGGTGAGGGTAGGAATGTAGATCAACAGGTGAATCAAGAGCTTTGCCTTCTGGCTCAACTCACTCTTCACCACAACAAATCGGTACAACGTCCGCATCACTGCAGATGCAGCACCAATCCGTCTGTCTATTTCACGCTCCATCTTTCCCTAACTCGTGAGCAAGACCCTGAGATACTTAAACTCCTCCACTTGGGGCAGGACCTTGTCCCTGACCTGGAGAAGGCGTTCTAACCTTTTCCGACTCAAGACCATGGTGTTGGATTTAGAGGAGTTGATTCTCATCCCAGCTGGATCACACTCAGCTGTGAACCGCTCCAATGAGAGCCGAAGATCATGTTCTGATGAAGCCATCCAAGTGATGGATGGATGGATATTGAAATTGTTGGATGTTGCATTGCTCGCAAATGTTTAATATTTTTTACTCCAAAGGGGTTCAAATGAAGGCAACTGGATTTCTTTGGATTCTTGAAGACATTTCGTTTCTCATCTAAGGAGCTCTGTCATTTCTGACTGAAATATGGGAGGGTCAAGCTTATGATAATGATTAAAGACCCGTACTTGTATAGCACCTTTCTGAGTCAGAAGACTCCAAAACACTTTACAGTATATGCAGTATATCATTCACCCATTCACACCCTTGAGCTACAATGTAGCCACAGCTGCCCTGGGGGACACTGACAGAGGTGAGGCATGAACTGTAGCTGTCAAACCAAAAAGGTCCAGTTGCCTTCCATTTCCATTTTCCTGTTCATTTTCCAAGAATTATTGATCCTTTCAGCTTGGGCATTCAGACTCTGATAGCAACTCTTCTCTCCTTTTATAGCACCAGTTTTCCATGTTTTCTTGTGACTGGCAAATGAAGTTAGAATATTTTTGTTCAAAGCAACACTTAAGACTTTCAAGCTTCTCTGTCCTACTGGTTGAAAGTGGATTTACTGTCATTAACAACACTGCTGCAGCCTCTTGTAGCTAGTGCTAACAACAAGCTAATGCTAACATGAGCTAACTGATATTTAACAACTGCGTTAAAAGATCCACACTGTTGGGCAAAAACAGTTATTACTAACAGGCCCAGTAGCAACAAAGCCAGGTCACCATCAGTCCGTGATTTCACAGCCTCCTTTAGCTCCCTCAAATGAGTTTAGGCAGCTCCGATGTTCACTCCGGCTTTAGCTCTTTGCTTTGCCCCAAATGACATTACTCTCTTACTTTTATTTCCAGACTTCACCATGATGCCAACAAAAATCCAAATACCTTTTTTTTTTTTTACTTTTTGTGTCTTTTATTGATGATTGACAAACAGAAAAATCTAACTGCTAGCCTTTAAATCATCAGCCAGCACAGAAAATAGCTAAGAACCATTAGGTATGTAGAAAGCGTCCTCAACTGCACCTACCCACTCCACAAAACTGTTAAGTGCTGTTTCTGGTCGGCAGAAGGCCGCAGAGTGCTGTTCCATGTGACGTTGGTCAAGTTTCTACCAAAACAATCACAAAACCTCACTTTTAAAGAAATTGGTTGAAGTGTTAAAAACTGCTTAGTGTCACTTTAATATTAATATTTTTAATTTAAAGTTTTAATAACGTTTTTTATTTGCTGCTTTTTTAATCGCTAACTTTTCAATTATTTCTGAATGTTGCAGCACTCTTTATTATCTTTGGTATACCAAATTGATCCATGTATTTTTTATGCTATATTTAAGAATGGCAATTATGATATTGATTGTAGTAACATAAACATAGTTCTGGTCTCATAAGTGATGCTGTCATTAGTTTTAATTGCTGCTGAACACCAGCATTGATAGCCAAGGACCTAAATAAGTGCATGCACTCTTCTCACAATGTGAACTCTGTTCAGTAGTTCCAAACTCCAGCTCTGGTAAATACTTGAGAGATCATTCTTACCAAAATAATAATCACATTTTTTCTATAATTTTCATCATTTGAAAGGTTTTAAATAAATTGGACAACAATATGGTGGCAAATTAAGATATATTACAAACTATACGGTATGAAAATTATAAATCTTTTTATCTAACTAAAATATTCTGTTTTAAAACATCTGTATACATTATAAATTGTTATAAATTTGCTATAAAATGTCCATGGACTTTGATTTGATTTGATTTCTGCCTTTGATTAGAATGATGGCAGCAAGGGCGTAGGAGCGAGTGTAATATTGGGGGGGACATATTTTGGAAATCTAACAAATCTGTTGTAGGTCAATATATATGTCAACCTCACTGAAGAAATACATTTAATGATTATTTCTGATTCTAACGTGTTACTGAGTGTTTCATGCAGGCTGAACATAAACATAGTCTCCTACCGCTATCTCCTGCATTAGCTTCTGATAGACGGTGAAACTCTAGGATTAGAAAAGTCTGACAGATGTGACTCAGGGCGTAAGGCAAAGCCCAGAAAGACAAGAAAATAACTTTTATAGCCCAGTTCACTAACATTCTGTTTTTTATTTTTGTTGTTGTTGTTTTTTTTTTTTATCGGGGACCCATGAGCCAGCCAGAAGGGGAGGAGACTTGGTTTCCCCATTAGCCAGATCCAGGTGATTACCGGCCAACGTGGACGTTTTAATTATAAAAAACCTGTTTATGTGTCAGTACTGTTTTATTTTTATTTAATACTATGAATGTAGGATATTTTATCTTATTCATATGGGTAGAGATGTGTAAACAGATTTAATACAAGACTAAAGCTGTGAATATTCAGTCTGAATTGATCTGACTCTCATCAGAATATTTTAAACTACATCAGCCAACAATGCTGACCAACAATCAGAAAAATCTGTTTGTTTCTGACAGAATGAAAAAAGAAATAATTCACTCACAACAACAGCTGGAACTACGTTAATTTTCAGATGGACAAAAGAAAAACAGTGGCCAAAATTGCAGTCTAAGTGCACCAGAAAGCAGAGTTTAACACTTATTTTTCTAATATGTCTAAGGAAGCATTTATTTTATTCTTAAGCCGTACTGCCCAGCTCTACTTGTTATGGGATTAAATACATTCAACTGTGTTCACTTATTATCACATCCAAATCTTCCTCTCATCAGCCACCTAAAATCATCTCACTCTTCACTGTCTCACCCTCAGCAGGTCTGGCTCTCCCTTCCTCACCCTCAGCTGGTCTGGCTCTCCCTGTCTCACCCTCAGCTGGTCTGGCTCTCCCTGTCTCACCCTCAGCAGGTCTGGCTCTCCCTTCCTCACCCTCAGCAGGTCTGGCTCTCCCTGTCTCACCTCCAGCAGG